CTAGACAAGGGGCTGTTTTCCATGGACAGCAATGCTGCTTGGCCTTGACATCTGCAATTTCGTGGTGGAAAATTCCAGGAAAATGTGAAATTTGGGCTCTTTGCTTAGAATAGCTGCGGGGATGCCTTGCAGCCGCTACTGCAAACCTCAGATGTCCCAAACATAGCTGGTAAACCACAGCACAGTGTCTTCTGCTGACCTGGAAGTAGCTGCATGTCTCCTGGTTCCTGCAGGCTTTCCACATTTTTGGTGCTCTGATCCCAGGCAGGAGCATGTCAATCAGGAGACACATAGCAGGAAGGCATCCAGATGGGTATCTGAATTGCCAGGAATCTTTGCAGTGCTTCCTGCAAAAGTACCTTGCTCAGGGCACAGAGAAGACAGGAACAAGCTGCACACTTTTCCTAATTCTTCTGCTTGCAGTTCTGGAGGCACCATGGCTGTATGAGAAGATGGTAAAAAATGGGCCTTTTTTCTTTTAAAAAAAAAAAAAGAGATAGGTGGCTTCTTCACTAATTAAAACTTGTTGTGAGGGTTTCAGCACAGTTCAAAGTCATATAAATTGGTATTTGACAGTACCTGCTGAATGTGGGCTCCTCCATTCAGGCCATGGAACCATCGATGCAGTTGGGATTTTTAGTATCTTGCTATATCATTCTGTCATGCTAGACAGGATGGGAGGAACCTGAACTCCTCTTGACAAGCTAGTTTATCTCCTCCAGAGAGGAAGGCTGAGTGGTTAGTACTGTGGTGGTGATATACCTCCTCAGTTGGCTCTGAGCCATGGTTGGGAGAGTTTGCAGCTCTTGTCTCAGTGCTGATGTGGTTGTGCTGGTGCTAAACAGGTTGATAAAATAGGGTGTTAGGTTAATGGTTGTGCTTGCTCAATGATGTGAAAGGTCTTTTCCAACCAGAATGATGGTGTGGTGTGACTGGCTGGGGGGTCTCAGAGCTGTGTTTATCAGTTGCTCTCCTGATGTTCTCCTGGCTGGTTGGATGGGTGTGAAGAGGAGCAGGTTGCTTATCCCCTGCTTGCCTGTTGGCTGAGCTGAGATGCAGTGGTACCAGCACTGGGGACCTCAGGATGCTCTTCCAAGACCATCTGGGGGTATGACTGAAGGCTGTCACTCAGCCCTTGTGTGCCAGTGACTGTGCTGTGAGCAGAGCAGGCATGATCCAGCCCTGCAGCCATCCTGCCACCCCCAGCAAAGCTAAGGGGCACATCCATGCATGCCATGGTTTGCAATGTCACCCTCTGTGCCACCAGGTAAGATGTGGATCCCCTTAGGGATCCCTGAATCTCTTGGGAAAGATCTTGCAGCACATGAACTATGTCATGGTCATGGCAAGTGTGCAGGCTTACAACATCTATGTAAATGGAACTGCTGGTGGTGGGCTCCTTCATCTCAACCACAGGTCATGGTGTGTCCTCTCTTCTGGGCAAGAGCTGGCTGTGGAGTGATGCCCAGAGAAATGCTCTTAGGTCTCTCCACTGCTGACTATGTATGGAGAAGACCCTTCCCACGGGGCTGGGAGGGGAGCAGAAGCAGTTCACAAAAGTACAGGTTGGGAACTATATCCTCGGGTGCAGTGGGCATGTTTTGAGCATGCAGATGAGTTTCCCTTCTGGCTACAGCTTTGAGCTGATGAGTCACTTTGTCCATGTAATCCAGGTATTGTCAAATCTCCTCTTCCCATCATAAGACCCTGGGGTTTTTTTCTCTTTTTTTCTAGGGGCTGACATTTGAGGAGGTGGAGAACTTCTTCACTTTTCTGAAGAACATAAATGATGTGGACACAGCTTTGAGCTTCTACCACATGGCTGGAGCCTCACTTGATAAAGGTACTAACACCTGGGTGACAGGAGCTGAGAGCTTGGGGGAGTTGAGAAGATGGCAAGTGAGCCCAGACTGACAGCTTAAAAATGTAGCAAAAATGGCAGTTCCTCCCTGTTATGAGAGTTTTCACTTGCTGTGTCTGTGGATAAAGAGGGATTTCAGGGTTTTATGCTTCCCTGGTTTTAGATGGAGAGGAAAAAGGCTGCAACGTGTAGCCTCAGCAGATGATGAAGTGGTGATTTCATGGTGACAGACTGGCAAGCAGTGATGTCATGCTGGTATCTTGAGCAGGACTGCTCAGGCTTGCTGTGTGCAGAGGCAAGATGACCTACTGTGTGTGTCACAGGTGCTGGTACCGGGTCCCGGGCACACCAGTGTCTCTTCTTCATCCTCATCTCCTGAAGTTTCTTATTTTACAAAGTATCTGAAAAATTAGTGTTGGAAAAGCCAAGCAGTGTTATAAGAAACATTCTTGCAAACTGTATCTTCTGTAGAGGTCTCTGTGATTGATACAGCAGAGGCACTGACCAGCAGTGGAGCTGCTGGGAGGAAATGTTTCCTGCTTTGCTTAAAAAGAGGAGTCTTTGACTGGAAATAAGAGCTGTGTGGCCAGGTGCTGCATTTCTGATGGAAATTGGAGCTTTGGAGCTCCCAGGAATGCTGCAGGGAAGGTGGGGGAGCACTGGACCCCCACTGAGGTCCCAGACTGAGCATATTAAAGTGTGTCCAGAGCAGGATCTTTCCAGGTAACCCAAAGTCCAGAGGTTATGTGCGGCTGGAGTAGCTGGCTGAAGAAACCTCAGAGCTGGTGTTTCCTGGGGAGCCTGGTAATTGATCAGACCAAACCATCTCTTTCTTCATCTTGCTTCCTTTTTCTGTGCTAATCCATATCATATCATATGTTCTCAGATCTGATGCACTGGTTTAAAAAAAAACAAAACAAGTGATTAATTAAAAATACCATACATCTAAAGACAAAAAGTCCAGCTCTCTGCTGCCAGAATCTGTCACAAGTATCTGCTTTTCTTTTCTAGATCTTTTTTTAAGAGTTGTTGTTTTAAAAACAAACAAACAAAAAAAAACACTCAGAATGGGTATAATAAAAAAAAACAACCTTACAGCAAACTCATTAAAGGTTTTTTTAGGCTAAGCGGAAACTCTTGTTGACTAGAAAGTTAAAGCTGATGTATTTAGGCAGCTGCAAAATTAAATGTTTTGGAAGTAAGCTCTTCTTCCAGCCGCTGCTGTTGTGGGAATATTAAGACATTGATGTTTTTTGAGCAGTGGAATTACAAAAAGAGTAAAGTGTGTCACATCTCCTTGTGTGTGTGCCAGTCTTTGATTTTTGGAGGGAGATTATCTGTACTCTTTGTTGTAGATCACCCTTATCTTAAGACTTAAACTTTAGAGACCCTGATAGGGTTTTCTTTCATTTAAAAGTAAAAATATGAAGTACAGATGTGCTGCTGCTGTGCAGAGCCCTTTCTGCAGTGTCCCATGAGGAGTGATAACCCAGCAAATCTGGTTTACTCCCTGTCTCCTGTAAATGAGCAATTGCCTGGTTGTGGAATGTGTAGTCATTGGAGTATTTAGGTCCATCTGCAGTTGGTAAATCAGTGTGGTTGCTGTTTATTATGTGCAATTAATGAGCTTGTGCTCATTAAGGAGGTGGAAGAGGGTAGTTGGTGTGTTTAATCAATTGCTACTAACCTAATGCAGCAAATGTTTTTATAATTTCAGAAGGGCTGTTTTAAAATTGAAGAGGAAAACAAATGGATGGCACCAAACAGCCATAGCTTGACAACCTGCATTGAATGCAAGCAGCCTTTTCTTCTAAAAAGGATCATAAACCTTTTATTTTAATGATGCATAGAGCAACACAGTTAGTGGATCTTTCATTTCACCAGAGACGTAACAGCCATCAGTCTCCTAAATCATAAGGATTACTTAGAAAACTTTCCCAGCCTGAGCTGGCAGCAGGACTGGAGCTGAATCTGGTGCTTATTCCCCTTTTGAGGTGAGGGTGTGAATTGCTTTGGGTTTTTTAGGCACCATCTGCAGTCAGGCTTTCCAAGCAGATGTTCTGCTGGTGCCAGCAGAGCCTGCTCTAAAACCTTTGTGTTTTAGGGCATTTTATGGATACACTTTGCAGAGTGAGGGGAGGCAGCTGGGCTTGCTCTGGTGGCTTGGCTGGCTTGGAGGCAGGGCTTGAGCCCAGGAGGGGTTAATGGATAGATGGTTTGGTATGAATAATGGAGCTTGTAATGGTTGCAGGTTTGGCAGGGAAATTGGGAAGGAGGTAGAGGTGAGTTTGGAATGTGGTATGTCTTGGTTATCAAACTGCCTTGGGAGCTGGGTGAAGTCAGTCCCCCAGGGAGGCACAGCTCAGCTAAGGGCTGGTAGTTGGGTGGGCAGGACTTCTGTAGGGTGAGGGTGGCAGGGATCCCTAGAGACCCTCTGTGCCAACAGGGGGACCTACAACAGCTTGTCCAGGGACACCCACCTACAGCCAGGGTGGCCCCCCACAGCCAGGACCTGGGTATCTCCAAGGATGGAGATGCCACAGCCTCTGTGGGGCATGTAAGAAAGGCCAGAGGAGTATTTCTAGAGATCAGCAGCCCCTGGAAAATGCTGAATGTCTATTAGTTCAGAAACTGCTGGAATCTCCTTTCTTGAGTTATTTATGACTGCTTGTATTACATAAACAGTGGCTCAGCTCTGCTTTTGGTCTGGTAGCTGCACTTCTTTCCCAGAAGCATGATCTCCATGACTTTCTATCATGCTTCCTTTGATGTCAAAACAGTTTCCTCTCAGCTGCGGGGGCTGCAGCCTCATGTTTTTGAGAAGAAAAAGAAAAATGTGCTGTGCCACAGGGTTATGTGGAGTTTGTACCTCTTCCTTTTGTTTGGATATTATGGCAGGTACCTGTGCAAATGACTGGAAAAAAAAGTGACAGGTTTTTTTCCTAGCTATATGGTCAACAGTGACACCCAGCATTTTCAACTGGGATGCTTAAAATGAAATGTGTATCAACCCTACTTATCCTGGGAGCCCAAAAGACCCATGTCCTGCCTGCACACAGAATCACAGAACCTTAGGGGTTGGGAGGGACCTGGAAAGATCATCCAGTCCAAACCCCCTGCCAGAGCAGGAGCACCCAGAGCACATCACACAGGAACTTGTCCAGGGGGGTTTGAATGTCTCCAGAGAAGGAGACTCCACAGCCTCTCTGGGCAGCCTGTCCCAGGGCTCTGTCACTCTCACAGCAAAGAAGTTCTTCCTGACATTCACATGGAACCTCCTCTGCTCCAGTTTGCACCCACTGCCCCTTGTCCTGTCACTGGACATCACTGCACAAAGCCTGGCTCTGTCCTCCTGACACTGCCCTGAACAGATTTGTAACCACTGATGAGGTCGCCCCTCAGTCTCCTCTTCTCCAAGCCCAACAGACCCAGCTCCCTCAGCCTTTCCTCAGCAGGGAGATGTTCCACTCCCTCCATCATCTCTGTGTCTCTGCCCTGGACTCTTTCCAGCAGTTCCCTGTCCTTCTGGAACTGAGGGGCCCAGAACTGGACACAACATTCCAGATGTGGCCTCACCAAGGCAGAACAGAGGGGGAGGAGAACCTCCCTTGACCTACTAACCACCCCTTTCTAACCCACCCCAGGATGCCATTGGCCTTCTTGGCCACAAGGGCACATTGCTGGTCATGCTCATCCTCCTGCCCAGCAGAACCCCCAGGAGCCTTTCTCCTACCCTGCTCTTCAGCAGCTCAGCCTCCAACCTGTACTGGCACATGGCTTGATCTTCCCCAGCTGCAAGTCTCTGCACTTGCCCTTGCTGAATTTCATCAAGAACCCCACCCAATTCTCCAGCCTGTCCAGGTCCTGTTCCACAGCCTGGGAGCACTCAGATCAGGGAGCCCTGTTCCAGCCATTCTGGGTCCTGGTCAGGAAAAGGAGGCAGCAGCCCAGCTGCCCTTTATTTTAGCCAAATGTATGAGTCAGGACAGAAAGTGAGGTTTTCCATCTGGCTGGGCTCTCACCCATAGAAAAGCCCTCTTGGTAAGCACTTGGTGAGGCACAGTGCAGCTCTGGGAATTGGAGTGGAAAAGACAATTGTGTCAGACACTAAACTTCCATAAAATAACTCAGATGGCTCATTAAAGGAACCAGTGGGAGACACTAACACTTGAAATTTTAAAAGCCACCTCAGTTTTCAGGAGAAAACAAGGAGCTAATTTTTGCTGGTATAAACTCCAGAAGACTTTCCTGTGCAGAAAGGGATGCAGCTGCCCTAAAGCCCCAGAACTGGGTGAGCTTTGTTTTAGGAGATGTTTCCCCAGGCAGCAGTTCTTTTGCTTTCCAAAAATGGTAAAGAAATGATGCTGGGAGGTTTACTTGCATTTTATTTGCCTCACCAAGGTACCTTGTAGACTGGAGTGCTTACATCAGAGTGGAAAGCAGAGAGAATTCCCCCTTCCTTATGACTCTAAAACCCAACCAACTCGTTGCCAAGTACACATGGCCCCTTTGAAACAACTTTTGTGCATAATTTCTGCACTGAGCAAGAACAATGTGACACTGGCACAGTTACATTCATCAGAGAAGAAGCAGTAACCAGTGGGCAGAAGTCCAAATGACAGCTGGTGAACTGCAGCCATGAAAAATAAGCACATGTCAAAGAGGAGGGAGGGATCAGGCAACACCCTGCAGAGATGGAAGGAAGGGGGTGAATACTCAGCAGAAAAACAAGACTTATAACTAAAGAAATAATTCAGACTTTGTTTTTTTCCTTCTGTGTAAGGAACTTCTTCAGTTGGGCACCTGGGACACCAGGAGGAGAGGATGGGTATCAAACCTTGGTTGAGCACCTTTAGAGAGGTTTTACATTTGAAAGGAGTTAATGAAATTCAGTGTTGCTGCCTGAGGAAATACAGATTGGCTGGTTGAAGGTCTGGGTCTCAGGTGAGAGATGATTTACAGTGTTTAAAACCTCTGCTGTTTCCAAAGCTGAGGTGTTTCCAAGTGCCTCCCCAACAGAAGGACTTTCTGGGGAAAAAAGCTGAGAAATAAGTTTAAATAAAGCCTTTCTTTTTATCTAAACCTCTTCTTTTCCTTGAGCTTTACACATGGCTGAAGGCCACCAGCAGCATGTGGGGCTGGCAGGAGTTACAGCAGCTGGCTGGAGCCTGGGCTGAGTTTTGGGGAGGAGAAAGGTGTGTCTTTCACCAAGGCATATGTAAAGTCCAGGGGCAGAGCATTTGTCTTGCTAAAAAGGACAATGCTGTCCACTGTTTGGCTCTGGCATTTGCTGCCACTTTGTGGTGTTTGGTCAAAGTATTGTATCATACCTGTGGGGTTTATAGTCACCCTTTCCTCTGGTTTGGGGTAGGGGTGATGCAGCCCTCTCAGATCAAGGGGAAAGCTGAAGGCAGCCTGTCAGTGTGAGCTAATTAAATGGTTAAAAGCCCTTTCTGGAGGGCTGCTGCCATCTAATGTGCCTGCTGGCTTGTGTTGCAGTTCATTTGTGTGATGGTGTTGCCTCTTGCTGGCTAGTTTGTGCATGTTCAGAAGAGAGCCAAAAGGAAGGGGATATGTGGACATGGTGGCTCTTCCTGCACTTGAGACCTGAATTCCCCAATTCCCCCATGACCTTTGTTGTCCGGGTTTTCTGCAGAGCTGAGGCACAGTGTATCCTGCGGCCTGGTTGGCATGTGTGGGCTGGGAAAGCCCTGCAGTCTCCTCATGGCTTGGGTGACAAGGTTCAGTTGTAAGGCTGGGGAAAGAAAAATAATTCAAGTTTTCTTTAATGATTACATTGCCCCTGCCCTCCCCAAAGTTGGCTCTGGCTGCCAGCAGGACATGCATAGAAGCAACTGCTGTACCCTGACTTATGGTGACAGAACTATAATGTAGAGTAATAACTGCAGACCACAGCAACCCCTCTTGGGTAGGAAAGGAGTTGAACTCAGAGTAATTACA